TATATATTTTTTTTTTTTTTTTAATGGTGTCTTGATGGTTTGAGTTATTTTTCTGGGCATGATGAGGGAAATGATGGGCACGCATTAACAGCTTTAATCCTTTTCCCAAAAATACGTAAATGGAAAATATAGTACATGTAAGAGTAAAACTGGTTAAAATATATTTCCCATTTTTTAAATGAGAAATATGTTTACAACGTCTTTGGTTGAAATTGTTCCCACAATCTTTAGCTGAGCATGGTTGATTTGAAATATTTACTTATGTACTATATGTCTACTGTGGTAAAATGAAGCCAAGACATATCCAAATCATTACCGTTCTAGCATAAAGTTCACACATTTTTAGCGACAATTTTTTAAGCTGTTTAGGCGGCCATGGCGTTCGTAATTTTTGGAAAACATCCGAAAAATAGTAGTTACCAATCAAAGGAGCCCGCCATAAACTATTTTCAGTCGTGCACTATCACCTCACAATGGGGTCACGGTCGTTGAGAATCTGTGCTTCCGTTACTCTAGTTCTTGGCTTAGCCATTAGTAGTGTCTTTATTAGGGACTCCACGGTACTGAAACACTATGACCATTAATTGATGTCCATCTATTTTTATAAATTCGACAACAAAGCTGGGCCCATAGATCCCTTTGCACCCCAATTAGAACCACCTGGATAGAAACACAAAGTGGTATACCAGCTTTTCCTTCAACGATTCGCTGCTTGATGTAGCGTTTTAATCTGGATAAGCCGGCCTCCTATAGTAAAGCGCCACGGTTTACTACACTGGGTCCGCAGAAAGCCGGCGCAGAGCATGAATGAAAGTAAATCTTTTGAATAATACCTTTAAGCTCCGTTTTGTCCCCTAGTTTGTTCAGACAGAGGAGGCCTATTTTCGACGCCCCTTTCGCTACAGCCAAAAATATTACGGATGCCCAACATTGACAATGACTTTTCGAGAGTCCCTACTCGGGCGTTCGTGATGTCGCTTTAAGCGTGCTATGTGCATTATTCGAAAGTCCACATACTATAAAGCATAGCAAAATTCAGATGGGCAAAACTTCTCTACGTACGAGCCAGCCTGTTTCATGTCCCCGTGTAACCTTCAATAGTAGTAGTGTACACCAAGATAAATGTATGATGTGCATGTGTGCACAAGCGTCTTATCTAGCAAAAAATCGTGGTGCTAGAGTCGCAGTTACTTCATATGCTTATCTTCTGTCGATAATTAATAAGTCTTCTGTCGATAAGTACGTTAGTTTCGGTTGATTAGTTATACGAACACTTTATTGGTATATTTGTGTATTAATTTTGTTAAATAATTCAATTACATTTAACATAGCATAAATCCGGCAAGTACAATACAGTTTCTCTTAGTTAACCGCCCTATTCTAAAAGATTTTAACGCTTCTAGAACCTTTTTAATAAAGTCTTCTTTTATGTATAGCTAAATGTAGGTTGCACTTACATTGCCTGAACTTTCGGATCCTCGCGGTGCCTCACTAACAGATGAACTCTGCGAATTTTGACTTTCTGTGCGTGGTTTCGGTCTGACAGGCGGTTTCGGTGGCAAATTTTCTGGTCGAGGCGGCGGTGGAGCTCGGGGCTTTGCCAGTGTCACACATCCGAGACCGCTGTGCACCGACGAATCTCCACCATAGTCCGACATTTTGGTACTGTATTTTTTACGCCCAAGACGATTGTTACTTTAGCGTTAGTTCTTTTCTGATTTTCCTCGAGATTTTATCGAAAACGGTAGGACGCTCTTCCACTTTGATTTATGGACCTGTTGCTTTCCACTTTGCTGCTAATGCACCGTCTATTTAGTGGCAGGATTGTGCAACAGCCTCTGCTGCACGGCTCAATGAAATGACTTGACAATGTTAGACAGAGTTTCTATCTTTTAATAACCGAGAATATCTCCGAACGTCTCCGCTCTTCTGGCCGTACACAACGACTAAGGGGTACACAAACAATGAATAGTAACAAGATCGTAGATATCAAAGCTGAGACTGATAAAAATGAGAGACGATATTTTCGTATCGCGTGTGCTTCTGCTATTGTGATGATCTCGTGAGTGCGGGTCTCCTATCTTTCCGCTATTTCTTGATCTCGGTAAGTATACAGCGGGGTGGCGCGTAATTCGCATAATAGCAGTTAAAATCAAGTTTTCCTTTGAGTTTTGAGTGAGCAACTTTCAGTCAGTGAGTAGTAATTTTCTCGTCCATTCCAGGCTAATGTCGATGCGTTTGTCTATCCTCTTTCTCACCTTTCTCTCGTCTTCATTCCTCTTTATTTTTTTTCTATTGTCTACTTCGGGTGACAAAAAATCGGCCCGTTGTTCTCTCCCTTGATTAGATACTTGTTTAAATTAAGCGTCAATATTTTCTAGGAGCGTTGGAATACAATAGCGTTCGGTTCCGTTTTGATATCCAACCAGAAACCAACGATAGATCGCTAACGAGTTGCTTCCAAGTATACACAAGAAATCTGGAAATTATCTGACCTCTAGCTATATACATATATATATGTATACATGTATGTATATATGTGTATATGTATATATAGAATCGATAATTATAACTATGTAGTAGCAAATCTGACTTCGTCGGCGCTTTTGCTCCTTTTGAAGCGACGTGAAGCACTTCGTTACACCCCGAGAGCGTATTTTATTTTGGAGAACTTGATTATATTAATTCACATGATACAAAGATCCGGTCTGCAAATTGTACCAAGTTATTTCGGAGAGCTAGCGATCTCTAATGTGACACAACTATGGCTTGTTGGTAACAAATGAATGGACGATTGCAATGCGTAAGCTAGCTTGCTATCGTGAAGCTGGCGCTGAAACGGGTCACTTCGTTTACATTTACTCACAAATACATTTCCTTCTTGAGACTCTTCTTCGCTGTAGATTCCGCCTTTAGAACCACTGCACGCAAAAGAAAACACAATAAAGATAGATATGCACCACGGCGATGTTCCGCCACACCTGTTGAAGCGTCGAAGATTTGCTTCTTACACAACGTTGTCCTATAACCGTGTTGAGTGGATTATATACCATATAATACAGGCATTCGATCTGGAGCATTGTTTGAATAGGTGTCAGCCTCGAAGCGTCACTAACAAGTGTAACTTCAAGTTCACTCGTTTTCGTTACCCGGCAACCTCTTCTGTCCCTGTGGCAGAGGTAGTAGCATAGGCAATCGTGCAATATTCTAAGGCCTCTCTGTGCTCTTGACGAGTGTGTAGCCAACACAGTGCGTGTGAAGCGCCGGCTACATGAAAAAAACGAGTGACTGACTGAAGCAGTGTCGCATCGACGGATTATTCTCCCATAAGCGACTGAGCGAGCCTTTATTACTGCAACCGTTGCTGTCGCCCCAATCCGATTCGGCGCTGCGTTCAATAACGTGATGGCCTACGCAATGGCCGTGGCCGTACTGGCTTAGCTTCTAGTGTTGTGGTTTGATCACTTCGCACGCAGTGGACAACTTCAGCATTTAGCTAGTTGTTTCAACCGTCAGGCTAGAACAGTTGCAGCTAGTCAGAGCCATAATGCCCACCGTAGACCGGGGCCTATAAAGAATGATTCGAACACTCGTAATGTCACCGCTGCTTCGACTGCTAGTAGACACATCTTGCCGGTGGAACATCAAGTCACTGAGATCGATCGTCACTCGTTCACGTACGCGTAACACTGACGCCCGTTTCGCTACCACTATCTCGTCAATGAGTGAGTCGATTAAGTGTTGGGAAAAGCGCTTGTCTCAAGGTGTGCGAAATCCATGCACGGTTCAAAGAAGAATTGGGATATTCAGAAAAAATCACTTCCAATGTTAACCGCCGCAAAAAAATATTTTGTTGTACTCCCGAAGATTCGATTTGCTCTGCTTACGATTCCAACACATGAAAGGGGATGGAGAATAGCTTGTAGAAACAAACACACAACCGTTTACTAACGTGCATGCTGATGGAACTCGACCAATAGTCTCACCAGAACCGATAGACAAACAGACAGACCCTGCAAATGATAGGGGCCTCGTCGAACGTAAACAGGCCGACTTAGCGCTGTAGGCAACTGCCAGGTCCAATTACTACTTTTCAAGCACTACCATCAACGGCTTAATGATAGCTGGAAGGTAGTAGGTCAAGATAGTGGCTCAAAGGGGCAAGGGGCCGGAGAACAGAAGCCGCTCCTACATCGATACCCACACGCTCGTATATATACTCACAAGATCCGACCATGTCGAGTTAGGTCGGGCTGGGTAATGGCTGACGGTTCTGCTGTTGCCCTTTCTCAAACCAGGGCCCGCAGCTGGCCGCTAAAGATGGCCCACAGAGTGCGCAGATGGCGGAGGCGTCACCATCTAGCATCACCCATGGCGCTAACAGCGGCTGTGATACGCAGAAGTGCTGGCAGCCGTCGCGGCAGCAGCGGCTGTCCGCTAGGGAGAAGTGGCTGCGATCAGAGACAGGGAGGATGGGTAGGAAAGTGAACGAAGCGAGTGCTGTATGTGCCATTGTTCAAAAACAATGTGTAGCTCATGTGGCTGATGTTGCTGGTGGCAATAGCAGTTATGGTGATAGTAGTATCGCTTATGGAGGAAGAGGGCGCGGCACGCTTCGGCTGCTGCCATAAATCTCGAGTGAACGAGAGACCGCACTGTGCTGTCTGCTCTGGCTCAGAGAGTTGCCATCGAGCAACGGCGGCTGGTAGAGAACGACGGGTTCACTACGTCGTCGTCATATACAAGTATACATATGTATATAAATGCTGTATTGGCGAACCAGTGATGACGGAACAGGAGGAGCAAAATAAGCTTATAGCACCGCAAGCGTTTCTCATGTGCTTAGCGAATTTAAATGGGTAGATCAGTCGGCGGAATGGTCGTTTGAAAAAGACTATGTAAGACAGAGCAGGCGTAGTCCTTTGGTTTGCGTGGTATCTATATGTTATTACGGCGATTGAAGATTTCCAGCTATTACTCGTCTAATAGTATAAACACGACTAACATTAATAAAGAATAATAAATGTTGCCACGGATTTCGATATTCGGTTAAAAAGTAAAAATGCCTACTCACCATTGAGGAACTATTGCTACTTCCGTACTTAACCTTATCTAATCCCGATAGCAAAATTTAACTAACTAGCTACCGGATAACTCATATGTACGACAACTCTATCGGTTTATATGCTTCTTTGAATAGTGGCGTTCTGCTTGTAGACATATTGCTTGCCGCTCACAAATTCTGACATCGTCCTTGCCTTCTTCGAACTATTTCAACCTTTGGAAACATCTCTCAGCGCACAATAACCAAACTAGTGATCAAATTCTTGAATGTTTTCATCTATATAGAATTTTTTTTATTTATTATATTTATATTTTATTATCAAGTGTTTATTACTATTGGTTATTTATCTATGCTATTTGTAAATTTTCTCGATAGTCTTAACCTGCTTCATGGACATTTCAAAGACAGCCTATTTCATGGAAGGTTTTTTCAGCGGACAAGAATTTTTCGTTTGCTGAAATAAATTCATCTAAAGTTCATCGATTGATAATACTTAGATTTGTCTGTTAATTCCTACGATCAATTCGTGCCTTTGTCTGCACCTGTTCATTTGTGTCGATTACTATTATCTTGTTCGTTTACCTTCTGTATTATAACTTCGATTACTAATTACTGAATATCCTATTCTTATAATATATATTACAAATATTTCATACCACTCAAACTAAGATTATTGATCATCGTCGAGACATTGCGCACGTTTCACAAATAAATCAGCTTCCAATGGTCATCGAAACAAATGATTATTCCATTCAAAAACATCTAGCGAAAATTACTGAGTTCATTTGGCCTGGCTTCATTTAGGCCAATTAATTCAATCGAGTCGACAAGCCTTCCTATTCCGAAGCTTCAACGTACAGATGATAAATGTTCACCTTCGAGCAAGTCAACGATGATTTCAGTTTCTAACTGTTTTATCTGAAACATCTGATCGCCAAGCTTTGGCCGGCCTATGATGCATAGAACTGCAAGTATCATCGCTGAACAATGTATCAACATCACATCCATGATATGATGTCGATGTCTGTAATGAAGGACGCCTTCATATTTTTCTGACAGGGATCGTCTTGCTACATCAATGAAGAGGCCTACCTGCAAACGGGTAAGCTATTGATTGCTCCTCACGTAACAGACCCAACCCACTGCACGGTTCTACTGTGCTCGCATGTTTCGAAAAATCAGCGTCAATCAGCACAAACAAGTGCTTGCGAGAATTGTCGGTGAGTATGAAACAAGAGTACGAGACATTCGTATGTTTTGCTGCTAGTCAGTGGAGACGGAAAGCTCGCTGCAAAAAAAACTATCATAAAGAGAATAATGTGTACTTCCTGAGTGACTCATCTAAATACAATTACATTTGATTTTTCACTTACTGTGAAAGGTGCACATTGATTACATTGCCTTCTTCTTTTGTCCCAATTACGTAATCTAATAATATTCCTCTTCTTGAAACAGTGCGTAGCCGTCACATGTTGCAGTAATGGCTTATATAGATATACGCCAAAATCCTCACAACATGTGAGGAACCACACTAGTCAATAAGTTAAATCCTAGTCAATAAAAAAAAACATATACGTAACTAAATTAATATAGTTCAATCCTTCGGGTTTAGGAAAATAGTACATTCCCCATGATAGCTTAATGGGTAACGCATTTGCCTGCTAATCTTAAGGGCACTAGGGTGATCTAAATTGAAAGTCGGACATAGACATACTTCGTTTTCGTGCTGGGAGCCAGTCGTCTGTCTGATAGAATGCTTAACGGTGATACTGGACGTAAAACCGTATAAACAAAACAATAAGAATAATAATTACTATAATTATGATCATCTTCAATATCACTATTATTAAACTTGTATAGACCTGATATTACACAGGGCTCAAATAAATAATTATCTTAAGAATCGTCTTAAAAATGAAACGAGTGGCTCGCTTGATCAGATGTGGCAAGTACTCATTTACACTTCACTTACCACGTCAGGCATATGCCCATGTCCCTCGTCATCGTCAACGGCATATTCGTGCGACTTCCGTCCAAGGCTTTGTCTGTGTCCTTTGGAGCCCAAAACCTGAATCGGCGTATGCTGTACCCCGTCAGCCAATTCTACGACTCGATATACCCGTAAAGTACCGCATGGCGTATTGCTTCCCGATCGTGTGACTCCGGAACGAAATTCAGGCGACCCTGGACGATCGTCGTCAGGGGTCTGGGTCCGTTCTCTCGACGAAGACTTCTTTTTACTTCCCTGGGAAACAGTTTTATTTTCAATTACCGACGATGCCACTTCTGTCTGCGCCACGTTAGCACTAGACAGCTGTGCCAGTTGCTCGCCAACTGTTGATACAGTAGCTAGACGTTCCTCTCTTGCTTGAGCACCCAGGGTCGACATGGGAGCAGTTTCAGCAGGAGTAACGGGGCTCAACGGTGTAACAGCTGGCGTAGGAACAGACGCGGTTTTTGGCGTCACTGAAGTTCCGGGAGTTCGTGGGTGAATGATCGGTGCAGGTGGAGATCTGGAAAGGGCGCTTGAGACTACCGGCGCTTGTGGCAACGCTGTGGGAACTCCCGGAGTCTTTCCCACGAGGTGTACGGTAGCGGTGTACGAGCTTGAAGATGAACTCGGTGAATCAAAGGCTTCTGCATTCACGTAGTCTACGGCAGCCGTCGGAGCCTTCGTCTCAACAGGGCGAAGTCCACTGCTAGTCGTATAGTAAGGGAGTCTGTCAATGCGTTGGGTGTAGTTTGGAAGATAGCTTGTTCTATCTGGTCGGTACGGTCCACTAGACGTACTTGGGAAAGCGCGCGTAGTTTCAAGCGGAGAAGTGACCGAATACTTGGCTTCAACAACTGATGCCCCTGGTGTAGCAAGGAATTTTGCTTTGGCATCCAATGTTCTATCCTTAATTGTCTCTGCTGAGGAGTGGGCAGGCGACGTTGAGGGAAAATTACTTGAAGAGGTTGCTGGAGGCCCAGGTTTGACAACTTTTTCGGAGAACAAATTCGAAGACGAAACTTTTGGCACCTCCGTGTTCTCTGCGTAAACAAACTGAAAGTCAGACTGCCCTGCCAATGCTGACGGATCGTTCGTATAGACGTACCGAACCCTTTCCGGCTGTTGAGGATTTTTTGACGAATCTACGTAGACAAAGGCACTTTTGGTGAGGCCAGGCCGCTCTTCGGCCTTACTCGTTTGCTCTTTCGAGCTGAGGTATTGAGCGTAGGTTTTTGGAATCGCTCCCGAAGCAGATGTTGGCAGCTTACTAAGTCGAGTAGTGGAGTCCTTTGACATTACACTGTCACCACCCCCGGCAACTAGACTTCCAGTCGAAACTCCTTTTGAGCAGCGACCGAAGACCGTGTCAATCTGCTCACGGGGCTTGTCGTCCGTTGTTGATGTCGCTGTAGGGCAATATGAACTGAAATACGAATACGTGCTGGAGGACTTAGGAAGGCTGCGGGAGAAGCCGTCGAAAATAGATCGCGGTCCGCTTGGCAGTTCAAGCGCCTCTTTGGTTGGTTTAATTTCTCCACGGGTGCTGGTATTCCTTGGCGGGTCTTGGGTGGAATTTTTTACAAGTGGAGGTGACGTTTGCGTGGAGCCGGACACATTGCTGGTGCTGAGATTAGCTGAGGGTGGCGGCGTGGGTTTACTCACATCCTGCTCACCGGCTCCTATTCTTTTGTTGACTTGACTTACAGGCCGAGCACGATCGTCATAATACTTGCTGTGGTAGTCTCGATAGCGATCCTTATCCTTCTCGTAATGGTGATCCTTATGTTTATCCCTGTGTTCTCGATGGTCGTCCCGTTTATGCCTGTCTGCCGAGCTCACATGCGTCTTGCGCGCGGAGCTGTCGGCGTGTTTGTCTCTTGCTGGACTCAGTTCGCCGGCTTTGTTGCCGCCTGATGAAGAGGACGCAGCTGTATTTCGTTGATCGTGCAGTTTCTGCCCTACTGTTCCACCCTGTCGTACCCCAAATGGATTTTCCTTAGTAGAGGTAACTGTTGAAACAGAGCTCACTTGAGATTGTGAGGGTACTTCAAGTTGCTGTAGAAATTCAGTTTTCGAATACGGTTGTTTTTGTTGTTGTTGCTGCTGGGGTGACTCTTGAGCT